GCTCACAGCCACGCCCGTCCCGGCGGCCGGCGCCTGGGAAGCGGGTCTGGTTGGTCTTTTTAACCCAATGCATGGTCCACGCTGCGGTCTTCATCGACACCCAGACGGAACCTGCTCGGACCCCGTCCCAGGCTCAGCAACAGGGGAACCTGCCGCCCACACAGACACCTACTCACTGCACAGGCCACAGACACGCCTGCACACACATGTGAGCACGCACCTACAGGCACAGACACGCCCACTCCACCGGCCACAGACACGCCTGCACACACATGTGAGCACACACCTACAGGCACAGACACGCCCACTCCACAGGCCACAAACATGCCCACAGACCTGTGTGAGCACATCCATAGGCACAGACACACCCACTCCACAGGCCACAGACACTCCTGCACACATGTGTGAGCACCCACACAGAGGCACAGGTATGCCCACTCCACAGGCCACAGACACGCCTGCACACGTGTGTGAGCACCCACACAGAGGCACAGGTATGCCCACTGGGAGAGCAGGACACACCCACATGCAGCCCAGGCCCAGCGACCCACAGGCAGAGTCCAAGGCCACGGGCTGGCCCCACCCGCATACCTCCCCTGGGGTGTGTCCCACCTCTGACAGCCCGGCTCCTCCCACACTCTGGGCTCCCTCATTCTTGGGGCCTCGCTGCCCTGCAGACCCAGGGTCCCTCCACACCCCACCCCTTGGGAGTGAGTGGCTGGGGGAGGCCAAGCCTGAGACCCCGAGAAGCTCTGTACCCCCACCTCCCAGAGGAGGGGGAAAGGGAGGGGGAGGGGGTCCCGGGGCACCTTAGTGGGGAAGGCCCGGGGCCACACCTGTAATACCCCAGTGCCCACCTGGGAGGGGCCCAGCTGCCACCTCCTACCTGGTTAGAGCCTCAGGTCCCAGGAGGAGGGGCCTGGGTCTGAGTTACTTGGGCCTCAGTTTGGGGGGTAAGGAGGTGAAGGGGCTCATGGGGGCACTTGTGGGGGGGGTGGGCAGGGCAGCTCGGAGAGGGGTCACCAGGAGGGGTGCCACCTCAGGGACCAGCCCCCCTTCTCTGACCCTCTGAGGGCTCCGCTCCCAAAGAAAGCCGAGCACAGAGAGGGACTGCGTCTACCCTGAGGCGGCCCAGCCCAGCTGCACCCAGAATGCCATTCTCAGACTCGGACCCTCAACAGCCCCAGGGGATCCCATGCCACCCCCCCACCCCGTCCTCCCCCTGCCCGGGGAGAGGCTACAATCCGCCCAAACCCAGCCGTGAGGAGGACTCCACTCCGGACCGAGGCTGGGCCACTCCGGGTACCTCCCAGGCCCCAGAGCTGGGATGGTGCGACGGGGGGGGATCCCCAGGCCAGGGACCAGCCCTCCCCAGGCGCCCCCCCATGAACCCCTCCCAAGGGGAGGACAGGAGGCCGAGGGAGAGCAGGAACCCCACCCTGTCCCGAGGGCTCCCCAGTTTGGCCCCAGTTCTGCCCCCGGAGGAGCAGCAGGGCCAGCGGGGCCTCGGG